TTGAGTCGTCCTGATTGTATTAGATGCCCAGGATGCGTCCACACACGTAAGAGGGTAAATGACGACCAGAGGAGTATCAAAGCATCCATTTCAGTAAACTTCATCTTTCTGTTCAAACCTTTAAAGAAACCCAAAACACATGGAGTCCAATTCTACTCTGGCACAAATGGTGTTGCTTTGAGTTGGTAATCAACTCAAGGGTATCTGATCAAGGGCACCAAATGACCACCTAGATTTTTCTTAGTGATACAATGTGGTAACAAAACCTTACAAAATGGGAGGGGCGAATGATTTACAAAAGGTGGGATGATTATGTCCCCGACAGAGCAAGGCCGATGCCTTAGAAAGGACTTCGTGAGGAGATTTACTGAATGCTTAAGTTCTTGCCTCACAAATCACGTGATGGGTTTGTCTGGCGAGTTCTGTGCCTTAACGTACATGTTCTTCTCTAACTCTCAGGTATGATAAAGAAAATTCAACTATCATAAACCGCCTGCACGGATTTCTAAGACGGTAACATTGTGGGCGTAGAAAGGCTCCTCTCTCTCCCCGAGAGGAGCCGTGTAGTTGCCAACGGCTGCGCTAGTGCTTAGCAAGCCAGCACACAGCCTCCTCGCCCTCCCGCCCGACCTCCCTCCGCAGCGCGGCTTCCGACGTCTAGGGCGCTCTGGGGGGCGGGGCTTCCTCAGCCACGCACGCACGCACGCACGCACACCGACAAATCGGCGACGCCCGTTCTAGCGGTTTCCTTCCAGCGTGCAGTCCCGGACGCGTCCTCAGCGAGGCTTCAAGGAGGCGAAGTTCCCGATTCAGGTGAGGGCTGGGCCCCCGAGGGTGGCCTTGCCTCAGAGACCGGTCGGGGGGCTGTGTGGGCCCGTGGGGACGTTTTCAGGTGTGTGGGGAGGGGAGGAGGCCGTCGCTGCTCCTGAGTTGGGGGAGGGCCGGTCTCCACAGCATAGTCCGGCGCTGCTGACAGGAAAGCGGAGGCCGCGAACCTCCCTGAGGGCAGGCTGGGAGGGTTGAAAGTGGGGTTCGAAGGGGCGCCCCGGGAGGGCTGACCTGTCGGCTGGGAGGGGAGGACTCCTGGGGTGGGGAGTGGGCGTTTGCGCGGCCCCCCGCCCTGTGAAGTCGCGGTAGGCCGCGATCTTGCGCAGAGGGCGGTTCACGTCGTGAGGCGCAGCTGCCCGCCATTTCCCTCAGGAGGTGTTTTTGGCGTTAGCCGCCCGCCCAGCAGGCCCCTTCCCACTCGGTGACTGCGTTTGGCCCAATATGGCCGCCCAGGCCCGGTTCTTCGGCCCACCCGTGGCGTCTTTGTGATCTTTAGGCCCCATTACCTCTGTTAAAATTTCTAATAAATGAGAAATACGTATAAAACGCTACTCTGAATTTTACACTGTAGAAATCATACTGGATAGAAATGATAGAAACTGTATTATAGAACATGATATAAATTACAGTGTATAAATGATACTTTATGCCTAATATAAAATTAATGTTAATCAAAAATATGTAAATTTGTTTATAAATGAAAATACCTCAGTCTCCCTGGTTTAAATTATGGGGTGTTTTCTCTCTCTTAACCAGTGTATTTAAATAGAGTATTTAGAATAAAAAGGCTTAAAAAGCTCTGTTTTTCACCTCAGCAAACATCTATGATGGCACCTTCTGGAAGAAAGCGTACAGGGAAATCTGTGAAGCAGGCCATTGAGGAGCAGGTTATAAGAGCCTCTAAGTTTGATGAAGAGAATAGTCGGAGTGGTTCAGAGGAAGATGTTCTAGAAGGTACAGTAGGACCCACTTTGGGTAGTGATGTGGTCTTCATTTGTTTTGAACCTATTGTGTTTTAAATTAGGCTTAAAAAAATCATCTTTAATTTTTGTTAGCCAAAAGCCAAGATCCCCAAACAGTACTTCTCCATTTGAAATGATCAAACTTGCATACTTACATTCTTTCTTATAATCATGCAGAAAAGACTCTAGTCATTGATAAGCATGGGAAGAAAAGGGCTTCAATCGGACCCAATGAAGAATATGTGGGGTAATGTATCAAAATCTTGTTGGCTTGTTGAAGCACTTTAAGAAAATTCTACTTTGGCTACAGATGTATGTAAAATAACTTGGCTTGTGAGATTTTTTTTTTCTCCAATTAAAAAAAACATGGTACTTTATGTAGTATCATACTACATAAAATTTTTAATGACATTTTCTTCACAGGGGTCAAGTACAGAATATGCTGGAAAGATTTGGAGGTATGTTTTAGGATATATTTGTAAAGATGTTTTATACAATGTGATGTGTATAATGTTGTATGCCATTGAGTCAGTCTTAACTCACAGTGACCTTACATAACAGAGTAGAAACTATCCCAAAAGTTTTCCTAGGCTGTAAATCTTTACGGAGCCACTGGTGGCTTAGAACTGCCAACCTTTCAGTTAACAGCTTGCGTGACCACTGTGCCACAGGGCTCCTTGACTTACATGAAGGGCATTCAAAAAGCTTATGGAAAATACCATTATCTCTGAGTTCAATTTCCCCATGAACATTTAAAAGTCCCTCCTGAAAAGGGTTACACATAAGATTTACTATAAACTTCGTAGATTGCCTTATTTATCTTTTTAAGTTGTTGAATGAAGAGTGAGAATTGTCCTAACAGTGAGAATTGTCCTAATTGTCTTTTTGGTTTTTTAATTGCGGACTCATACAGCTCTTATCACCATCCATCCATCCATCCATCCATCCATCCATCCATCCATCCATCCATTGTGTCAAGGACATTTGTACATATGTTGGCATCATCATTTTCAGAACATTTTCTTTCTACTTGATGTCAGCCCTTTCTATCTACTTGATATCAGCTCATTTTCTCCTCCCCCCACCCTCTCTAACCTCATGAACCCTTGATAATAATCCATTTTTTTAATGTTTTACACTGACCCATGTCCTAACGGTGTTTTAAGGGTGTTTTTATACATCTGTGAATTTAGTGGACTGTGGAACACTAGAAGAACAATAGTAAAAATCACTACTTCTCTTGGTATTCATTGAGTGACAACCACATATACATAAGTAGTTTTTCTAAAATATATAATCAGATTTTTAAAAATTAAGTTGTCAAATGGAAGTTGAATAAGCTGTTGAAAGGCAGTACTCTTGAAATCACTACTTAGTTCCTCTATATGGACTTTTATGGAGCCGTGGTGGCATTATCAGTAAGTGTAGGAAGCCCACTGGTTGTTCTGCTGCAGAAAGATGAAACTAACTTCTCTGGTAGAAATTTACAGTTTTCGGAAATCCTGTATATAAGGTCACTATGAGTTGGAATCACTGATTTTTTTTTTTGGCAGTATCAATTATTCATACAAGCAAATCTGATTTGGAAACTTAATGTATGGAGACAAAAGTGATCTTTTTGTGAGCTTAGAAATTCAATAATATAGACACTTCAGGTTAAAGTATCTGTAATGGTTCAGCTTCATCATGATTACTTAAAAACACCCATTGATAATAGGTCCATAAAATAATACAGGTCCAAACATAAAAGCATATTTTAAAAAAGCATTATTAGAAGTACTTTATAAAATCCAATACTTTTGGTAAAAATGCCCTCTAGAAAGCCTCGCTAAGTATTTAAAAGCAGTTTTAAGTCATTTGTATATTTACTGTAACAGTATTTTTAACCTTGGTATTCCTGTTTTAGTAAAAAAGTTTTAAGATATCACTATATTAAATTTTTCTTACATAACTTGATCCTCTTGTATTCAAATTTTAATAGATATTTTTGTATTTTATGTAATTAGATGTAACTAATTGATCTAAGTGTTCTATTTAATGCAAGGGTAGAGAACCTTTTTATTTGCTAAGGAAGGGTCATTTGGTTATTTATGGGTCGTACTGGTCAAACATTTAATTAACTCACCCAGACTGTGAGGGCTAAGGAGTCCTGATGGTGCAGTGGGTACACATTGGGCTGATAACTCCAAGATGAACAGTTAGAAACCACCAGCTGCTCCTAGGGACAAAAGCAGGGTTTACTACTCCCCTAAAGAGTTACAGCCTCGGAAACCCACAGGGGCAGTTCTGCCCTATCTGCAGTCAGTCAGCATTGATTCTGTGGTAGTTTGGGTTTTTTTAGTTTATTGTGATGACTGGTATTGATAATTTTGTGGGCCATATATGGGAATGTTCCCTACCCCTGATATTGTGGGAGAGAATTTTATAAACTTTGAAAAATGTAGCCTTGATAAGCATTTAAATAAGTTTGACCATGAAACTTCTTACTACATGTTTTACAAAATTGAGTTATTATCTCAAAATTATGCAGCTCAGAAAATTAGAATTGTGAACTGCAAATGTTCTGAGCAGAAAAAGTGGGCAAATAATCTTGCTTTTAGAATTAATATATCAATTCAAATGTCTTTCCAATCTTGTTGAATCAACTGTATCCATAATTGACTTGAATATGTGGGAACAAAATAATTTTCTCCAAACACTACATTTTAATGAATATTTTTAATGTAGCTGACATTAATAAGACTCTTCTTGCAAAGAAAAAAAGATTGGAAATGTATACCAATGCATCTATCAAAAATAGTAACCAGAAAATTGAAAAGGTTTGGAAAGCACAACAAGAGCAAAGGTAAGGTTGTATAACTTTAAAGCCACAACATTTGTATCATTAATTAGTATTAATGAGTGGTCATTACTAATGAAAAATCCTATGAGGGGGCTTTACAAAGTATATGGAAGTTTTTGGTTTTCATTTTCCCATTACCTTTTGATCCTCTGTTACTGTACTAGTGAAAAATATATTTGGCTTGATTTTTCTCTTTTAAATTCCTTTAGTTTCTAACTTCACCCCTTCATAGATTGGAGATATATTTACTAATACTCATATGGCTTACCTTTTTACTCCACTTTCGAGTAAAATTGAGTTTTCTTATAAAAGTAACCTATATTGTAAAAATATGCTGAGTAACATAAATATCATAAATCATTAGTCTTGTGAAGGTTCACTATTGAACAGTGAAAAAAAGATTAGTATCATTGTAAATAATTTGTATTTTAGTTGAATTTTCATAACATTTTTGTTGGATCAAAGTTAACAGTAAATGAAGTGTAACTAGGTGTAAATCCTATGTGATGAGTTGTACGAGTCCCCAATAAAGTGATTTTTTAAAAAAAAATCCAATAATGATATATATGGAAAGCACTGGTAGTGTAGTGATTATGCGCTGGGCTGCTAACTATAAGGTCAGCAGTTCGAAAAACCACCAGCTGCTCTGTGGGAGAAAGATGAGGCTTTCTACGTCTCTAAAGAGTTACAGCCTCAAAAGCCCACAGGGGCAGTTACCCCGTCTTAATCAGGTTACTATGAGATAGAGTCGACTTAATTACAGTGATATATACTAAATATAATAGCTTCATCGAATATTAGAACCTATGTGCAGTAGATTAAAAACAAGATTTTCTAGAATACTTACAGTAGAATAGTCTTTTTCAACAGCTAAAAAGCATCTCATTAGCTTGTTAGAAAAATCCTAATTTTACTTCTAGGTCTCCTGTCAAAGACGCCAAATAAATTTTGTGTTGAATGTTAATCTATTTTCATATTTATTATTATGCTTTATAGGCAGAATCTTGGCCAAGAATATCGTCAGCAGTTTCAGACTTTTCTTCACCAATGGGATATGGATGTACAGAATTCTGAGGATCAAAAAGAAAAACTAACTGTTGGTATCACACTTAGATTTTATAAATAACTTGTTGTAACCAAATCTCAAGTAGGAATGGAGAGTCTAGCCTTGTAGTATGTCTGCAGAATTCAGCTAAGCTCCATCCCCAATTGTGACTATGAGGCATATACTAAACTCATTCGTATTTTAACTCCTTACATAGGCTGAAATTTTTGAAATTCCAAATGACAAATTTAGCAGAGTACAAAGTAATTGTATTAGGGTAGTTTAGCTTTACGGAACTATAGCAGCTCATTGGTTAAGTGCTCAGCTACTAACTGAAAGGTCTGGAGTTTAAACTCACCAGGTAGCCATTTGCAGGAGAAAGAGGTAGCATTCTGTTTTTATGAAGATTATAACCTGGCAATTCCTATCGAGCAATTCTACTCTGTCTTACAGGATTTCTGGGCCAGATTCAACTGGACAACACACAAGAACAGTTTAGCTGTGGGCAAAGCTAGATTTGGGAGAAAAGGGTTGTTCATGCATTGTCAACTGGGCTCTATCTCCATTTCTTAATAGGTTCTCCCTTGTGTGGTAAGCAAGACAGTTTCCTTTAATCCTAGAATTCCTATCAGATTTGTAATCACATTGGACTAAAGAAAGTCTTTCTCAAAAGCTCTGACAAAAAACTAGGCTCTGGAATATCATGGATTATTTGCCTATTCCATCAGTCATTGTGGTCAAGGCATGATTTATTCATAATAACCAGATTTGTATTACTTGCCAATCCCTGTAAGGTTAGAAGTCAGTCTCGCCCATACACTGCCTACCTACACTCTGTTTTATCCTTCCCCTGTAAAATTGATCATACATTCTTTTATCTAAGGGCTAGTGTGCTGTTGATATCAAATAATTTGGGGAGATGATTGATCAGCTGAATTTGAGAAATGTTTAATTTGAAGTGTATATACAACATTCATGGTGATTGTCAGTACATATGAGTTTGGATTTCAGGAGAGGGCATCAACATAAACATAGAACTTAAATCTTGAATACAGAAGATCAG